ATCCTTTGGGAAGCTATTGTAAATGGTATTGCTTTCCTAATGTCCTTTTCAGCACTGTCATTGTTACTATAGAGGAATCCAACTGATTTTTGTATGTCATCTTATACCCTGCCACTTTGTTGAATCTTCCAATGAGGTCTAGTAGCTTTTTTACTGAGTTTTTGGGGTTTTCTATGTATAGAATCATGACTTGATCTTTAAAGAGCCAGCATACACCCACAATTAATGAACAGAGGCAAAACTCAACACCCCAGGCTTTTGTGGGCTTGGGCCTCCCCAAACCTGGCCAAGGGAATACCTTCAAGGAGCTTATCTGAGTCTCATTCCACAAACCTCATCTTTGTAGCTCAAGAGTCTGCCATCTGGAACCAGAAGATGCCTCTCATTCCACCCAGGATCAGGAAGTACCACACAGCCAGGCCACAACAAATCAGAACCAGGTCCCCATTCTGAGACCAGGGCCCCCCACATGGTCAGGCAGGATGCCAGCTCTGCATGAAGGACTGGCACAGGCAGAAACTGACCTGGCCCAAGCTGCCATGACAATGCCCCCCAATACACACACACATACACATGCAGGAGCTCCCCCAGGGAGTGGGAGTGACCAAGGAAACTCATAGTCATGGATAGATATATTGGTGGTGAACCACTGGTAGCCCAGTGATTTACTCACCCCTCCCCCAACCTCTTGCCAATGAGCACAGAGCCTGGTCCCAGTATGGGACCCTGAGCTCAACCTGTTTACAGGCATTGCTCTGTGGGAGGTGGTTCCTTGTGGACTGACTCCATGGGTTCCCACAGGAATGGGGAATTAGAATCAAGTAATAATAGTACAAACAGCAGAATGTTGCCAGGGAACCCACGGTCAGGATATATAAAAAGGCTCCCAGCAAAGGAGCCTCCACATTCACCTCTACCTCCTCCCTGATACTCCCTAGTCATACACCCCTAATGAGTGACACCTGTTGCTCCTCAGGCTGCCAGTTGGCCTGCTCCAGGTCTGTGTGCTGCATCACCTCTGCCTCTAGCCCACCCCCCTGCTGTACAAGCTCCTGCTGTAGCCCAGCATCCTGTGTCCCTCCACTGTGCCAGCCTGTGTGTGGCTTGTCCACTTCCTGCCCATCACCCTCTGGGGCCCCCAGCTGCTGCTCCGGTGACTGTCAATTCCCATGCAGACCCATAGCCTGTGGCCAGGCCTCTTCATTTTGTTTGCCCTGCTGCATGCACAGCTCCTGCCAGGCAACCTTCTCTGTGCCCATGAGCTGTAAGCCCACTGTATGTGTGTGTAAGACTGCTGTCTGTGTGCCCGTGAACTGCAAGCCAACTGTGTGCGTGGCCCCTTCCTACCAGTCCTCCTGCTGCTGCCAGCCAACCTTCTGTACCTCCCTTGTCTGCACACCTGTCACCTGCAGCACCCCTACGTGCTGCTAAAGTGGTGGTCTGCAAACCAGAGTCTCCAGACCCTGGCAAAGTAGTGTTCCAGTTGTCATAACCCTTTCAGAGAACTAGCTTTGTAGGCTAATTCATAAGGAACTGCATGTTCCCACAGGGTCACAGAACCAGGATCTGGTTAATAAAATGATTGTTTTTGAATTCTATCCATGGAAACCATCATTAGTGTACCACACAGGGTGGGAGGGGTAGATCACTGACACTGAGGCAGAGCCATAGGTTGTCCCTGTGTGATCCTAGGCTGATGCTTACTTACTTTCTCCCTGCAGGATGCCAACATGTTCTCTGCCCCTGAAAGCTCTGCTATAGGGTTTGATGCAGTGCTGTTTTTGCTCTTGGAAGTGTGAGACCACTAGACTACACCCACAAAAGAACTTTCATTTGTCAGAGATGCCACCAGGGAGACAGCATGAAAATAGGTCATTGAGATGAAAGCCCAGCTAGATTGGATATTTCAACTTTCAAGGTTTCTCTTCTTACTGTCAAGATACCAAGATGCCAGTCATAGCAAAGATCTGAGCTGGGGACCCAGGTAGGCTCATATCAGGTCCTCAGCCAGCTTCCCATCACTGCCACCCATCATCTGGCTGTGAGTTATCCTGGCCTGGGTTCCCTCAGGGATGGAGAGAAGCAAGGCTCCAGGTCTTTCTCTTATTTCTGAACCGATGCTCAAAATTTCCTCAGACCCTCCTGCCTGCCACATTCCATGCTGGCCCAGGACAGGTAGTCATGTACATGACAGGCAGAGTTGCAGTTCCACACAGCTTCCAGCCATTGTGAGAAGATAGTTGGCCACATAGGTCAGGGTAAACCTGCACCCATAGCCAACCCTACAAAGGAGGGTGCACCTAGAGGGTATCTTCTCCTGCTTATCTATGCCTTTTTCTTGGCCTTTGTAGGTCTAGCCAGTGATATCTCTCATACCTTTTAGTCACAACGCTTTTTCCCTTCTTCCCTTTTGCCCTGAGTTTGCCCTGCATTTGCATAATTAGAGGTTCAACCCACCCATCTCTATAGGCAAGGGCAGTGGTTAAGTGGTTAAGAGCATGCTCTACATTGTCAGAGGGACATGCCTTTTACAAGTTATATCACTTGGAGCAACAATATAACTCTTTAAAACAGACATTATATTTTAAAGGCATATTTAAAAGTTATATTCTTAAAGTTATATTTAAAATGGGTACTTTACCAGTTTCTGACTCACGAGGTTGTCATTAAGGTTAAATGAGCCACTGTAATGAGTTCAGCACTGTTCTAGGCACATATTTTCTAGAGGCATGTGCCTTTAATTTAGGCTTTGTAGAACTAACACAAATAAAGAAACTCGAAACACGAACTAACAGTCTCAAATACAAAACACTCAGGCATCCATTCAAACCAAAGGCAACAGACAGTAACAAACAACAGAAATAGATATTCCAAGACCTCCAGATTAGAGAACTCTTGATAACAGAATTTTTAAAAAAGAATGTTGAAAACACCTGTTTAACTAAAAGAAGGGATGAGAATTGTGGAAAAGGAACAAGATACTATAAACTTACAAAATAAAACAAATAAGCTTGAGAAAGAACCGACTTGGTTGCTGTTTATTGTTAAGTACCGTAGAGTCAGTTCTGACTCATCGCAACCCTGTATAAGGTTTCCAAAGAGTGGCTGGTGGGTTTGAACCACCAACCTTGCAGTTAGTGCTTATCCTACAATACCACATCAGGATTCCTATACCTACTAAAATAAAAACAATATAAAATCGCTGTAAGTGAAAACCCACTGGATGAGTAAAATGGCAGGTTAAAAATGTGTTCTAGGTGAACTAGGATGCTGGCCTGAAGAAATTATGCAAAAACAAACAGATATTTTTTAAATGAAAATGTTGCTAAGAAACTTGGAAGATGGAATGAGAGGATCCAAGATATAATTGATGGACATTCCAGAGAAATAGACCAGAGATAATTGGGAAAAGTAACTTTTTTTCCAGAAATGATGATTAGTGTATCCACATAGCCACAAAGCACAGCACATATAAATGAAGTAATCTATTCTTATATACAGGGAGTGACAACTAAGAATACACAGGACAGAGAAGAATGTTTTAAGTAGCCATAGAAAAGATCAGCTTCCCTTCAACAAAACAATTCAGAGTGGACTTCTCAACAGAAACACAAGAAGCAGAAGAAAGATAAAATTGCCAGAATGCTGAGACATAATAATGATCAACCTAGAACTGCATTCCCAGTAAATTCTCATTGAAGAACTAGAGTAAAATAATATTTCCAGAAAAAAAGAGACAAAACACCCTAACTAGAGAAGCGGCGACACTGGAGATGGAGGCAGAGATGACGGCATGGAGCGTTAGAGCAGCTGAGAATTCTAGACTCATGGAAAGAGAAAAGCTGTGTGCAGGCTTGTAGAATATGCCCTCCTTTGGTTATTTAATGATTATATATTTCTAAGGGTTTCTGTGTACATTAAACAAAAAACACAGAGGGAATAGAAGTAAATACTGTTAAATGATGATGAATGGAGGAGATTGTAATCATCGCAATGAAACAAAATACAATAGGATAAATGCAAAAGCAGTGTTCTCTATGTAAATTTATCAATCAATTCCCAATAACAGCTTTAAAAAAAGGGAGGGAGGAGGTAATAAAGGTAGATACTGTTAGCTGGTAGTGCTCATTGTAATGATTTGTTGAATGTAACACTGATGATCTTCCCTGTAAACCTTCACTCAATTCACAATAAAAGGTTTCAAAAAAAGAGAGAAAACTTTTAACAGCGACAAACACTCACTATGGGATACAGGACACCTTCTAAGGAGGAAATAAAAATTACCCCAGGAGAATAGAAAATTAGGGCTGTATACAATAATGATAATGCTGACTTTTTTGCAAGGTTAGAGGGAAAAAAGCAAGGTAAAACTAGAAGCCTGGACAGATGCTACAGATAAATGAAAGCAATCCATTCTTATTGAGGAAAGTGCTGTTGTTGAGTACCCTGGAATTGGTTCAGACTGATAGCAACCCTGTATAAAGTTTCTGAGGAACAGCTGGTGAGCTTGAACCGCCAGCCTTGTGGTTCAAACAGACCTTGCAGTCCAGCACATTAGCCCACAGTGCCACACCAGGACTCCGTTTAGGAGAGTAGAGGTGTTATCAACTCCAGGCTATGTGAAGCATACCTCCTAACATTGTGGGAATCACCAACAAAATAATTGAAAGATGCGAAATTGAGAACCAGAAGAGAGAGAAAATAAATTCAACTTAAAAAAAAATCAATGTAAATGCGAGTATATAAGAATTTTTTAAGAGGTGTAGAAAAAGTAGTGCAAAGAGAAACACAAATAATATGCTAGAAAAAATCATCAAATATATTAATAATCACCAAAATATAAATAAATTTAAATCTCCAGTTAAAAAGCAGATATTAGATTTTTTTTTTTAAATCTAGTTTTATGCTATTTATAGTCTAAATCAGAGGTCTACTATGGCTCTTCCTCAGATGACATTTGGCCACAAATCATTTGGTTCTTCCAAGATCACATTGGCTTGTTTTGTAAGCTAAGTTTTACCGAAACACTGACAGATCTATATGTATTGCCTATGTCTGTATTCACATTGTAATGACAAAATTGACTAGTTGCAAAGATACCATATGACCCGCAAAGGCTAATATGTTTACTAACTAACTACTCCTTTACAGAAAATGTGTCACTCCCTAGTCTAAAACAGACAGAACAGAAAGGTTGAAAGTAAAAGGTGACATAAAATATGCCTAGAAAACGCTAATCAAAAGATATCTGGACCAACTGCTTTAAAAGATACTAAAACATCAATGTGAAATGTTGCAGACCGTGTAAGACTGGTCGGAGGTTCGAGGCCCTATAGGCCCGAGTGTAACAAATGAGGCCACTGGCAGTTAATGGAAAATTGCTTTCATCTTAATATTCAGGTACATATATTAAATTAATACACTGGAGCCTTTGAAAATCCACAGATAAATGTGATATTTTCCTAAAGCCGAGACTAAAGGTTGCAAGGTTAAACCTTTCTCCAAAGGATTAACTAAAAATATCTTAGCTACTTCTCGGTTCTTTGTTCTATAGACAAAGAACCCATCCTCCCTAATCCCTTTTCCAGGTGCAGCCCATTCACCTGGGTGTCTCCTGCAGAACTCTCACCTTCCCCCAACTGACCTCAGGGGCTATAGATATGTTCATTAGGCCTGAGAATCCAAGTTGCTGGCCTGGGATTCGAACCAGTGAAGTACAATGTAAAGTTACCTGAATGTCTGGAAAATTACTGATGTTAGCTGTATCCTGTTTTAGTCCCTCCCAGCTTGGTGTGAAACTCCTCCCCTAAATAAAACAGAGGCCCGGGCCTCCCCAGGTGTGCATTACTGGTTGGAAGGCATGGAGTAACGATTGCAGTGCATTACTGGTTGGAAGGCATGGAGTAAAGATTGCGGTGCATTACGGGTTGGAAGACATGCATTAAAGATTGCAGGGCAGTGAGTCGCTGCCTGCAGAGGCCATGATGCCTGTAGTCCCAAGCCTGCCCACCAGTGATGTATCCACCCTGGCTTTGGGGTGCCTCATTGTCTCCCTTCTTCTGTTTGTCTGTGTATTCTTTCGCTATCCCTATTGCCGCTGGATCTCCCCTCCTCGTGAACCAAAAACTCGTGACAACTATGTCGAGGGAAAACCCCGACAGTGAAAGAAGATGGCTTCTAATTAATGATTGTTATTGTTATGTGTCATCCAGCTAGTTCTGACTGATAAAGACCCTGTATAGGGTTTCCAAAGAATGGCTGATGGGTTTGAACTGCTGACCTTGAGGTTTAATTCATCAAGAAGGTATAATAAATATCAAATTCTTTGTACCCCAAGTATAGACTCAATATTGCAGAATCTGGTGGATTCCATGAAAGAAACAATCCTCAGTCTTAGGGAAAGACTCTCTAAACTTGATGGATAAATCGACAAAACAATACTACAGATCAATTCATTCAAAACTTTAAAAAAATGAAAATGCATTTCTTTAGATTAAATGACTCATGCTGATGTAAGAGACAATTATTATCTGGGGTACATTTTGTAAGTCTCAAAGGACTTACAGCTTCATAAAGAAATGTTCCTAAATTGTGATCTGAAAAATTGAGCTCTTGGTATATATATTTGAATCCTTAACATTTGTCAAAGAAGAATTCTAGCTAGATATGAAAAAAAAATTATTTCTATCACAATGGATGATGCCCTGCTATGTCAGGTCAAAAGCCTTAATTTATTGTAGTTTTAGAACAGGAGACTAATGTTACGGTGTTCTTTTCTTTATGAGCATTATCCTATTTAGAGAGAGAGAGAACAAAATTAAGACATAAAATGCCCAAAGCATGTTTGGAGTCATCCAGTTCTCTGATTTTATTTATTTATGTATATATGTATATATGTATGTATGTAACACAACTGTACCCATGTGTATGACTGCTTCTGCTCTAACTCAACCAGGTGCTCTCAAGTCAATTTCAACTCATGGCAATCCCGTGTGTTTCAGGGGGAGCTTTGCTTATGGAGTTTTCTTTATATAGAGTTCTGGTTGAAAGTTAACATAGCAAATAGGGATTTCCTTCACCAATTCAAACAAATTTTGTTTTGTGACATTGATTACAAGCCCCACAATGCAACAACATTCTTCCTACTTCCTCTCTGTGTTTGCTATTTCCCTTTGTCCTTCTTTCCCATTCCTTCCTGCCTTCTGAGCTTTATCCCTGAGCAAATCCTGCCCTTTTGACCTGATATGGTTGATTGTTCTAAGGAGTTCATACCTCCCTGGTGTTATTGTTCACTTTATGTTGTTGTTGTTGTTAAGTGCCGTGGAGTCGGTTCTGACCCATAGCGACCTTGTATAGGGTGTCTGAGGAGCAGCTGGTGACCTTGAACTGCTGACCTTGCAGTTCAAACGGCTTTACAGTCTGGCACATTAACCCACAGTGCCACACCAGGACTCCATAAGTCTTTCCAATGTCTGAATATTAAGCCACAGGAGTAAGCTGAATTCCACATTTGTAAGATGTCTAAGGGCCATAATCTCAGGGGTTCTAACAGTAACCCTGGTCTTTTTCATTAAGAAATTTAAGTTTTGTTCCACATTTTTCACCTTTTCTATCCAGGATCTCACAAAGAGTGATCAGCAGCAGTAGTCAGACACTTTCTAATTCTTTTGGTTTCAGGGTCCATGGAGGCTGGGGTTCATTAGTCCTTTAGACTAATTGTTTTCTTGCATATTTGATTTTCTTCATTCTTCTTTGTTCCAGATAAGAATAACAGTTACACCTTAGAGGATCATTCACAAGCATTTAAGATCCCAGTTGCATTCTAAAAGTGCTGCATGCTGATTGCACAATTGGAACTTCCAAGAAAAGTTAAAAATGTTATTTGCAGCATTATGTGTAGTAACTAAAATTTGCTAATAACCTAAATGTCCAAAGAGAAAATTAGACAGGTTGAAGTATCTGTACACAATGAAATACTATATACCAGTAAATAGGAACAAACAGGAGAACAAGAGGAACTTATATTAGCATAATTATATTTGCTGCAACATAATTCAGAGAGAGAAAAAAACAAAAGTCAGTCACAAAAAGATATGTAATATTTCATAACATTTAAACTTTAAAACCCTTGTTGTTGTAGTTAAGGCCTTCAAGTTGATTCTGACTAAAAGCCACTCAGTAGAGGGTTTTCAAGGAGTGACTGATGGGATTGAAGCAAGAAACTTGCTGTTGGCAGTCCAATGTTTAATCATACCAGTACTCCACTGGTGTGTGATAAATCCCCCAGTTTCAACTGGGGATCTCCAGGATGACGAATGAAGGAGGCACAAGAAGATAAGAAAAGGTCCTTTTAAGCTAGTTGTTGCATCTATTTGCATAATCAGAAAAATTACTGAAATACTTATTATAACAGCTTCAATTTCAAACCCAATAAATTTATATTCCTTTCTCTGGATTTTCCTAAACCACCCAAAGCCAAATCCAACCTCAATGAGTCAATTCCAACTCACAGTGACTCTATACTGGAGTTCTGAGACTGAAATCTTTGCAGGAGCAGACAGGCTCATCTGCCGCCTATAAAGTGGCATGTAGGTTTTAACTGCTGACCTTATGGTGAACAGCCCAACACTTGACCTACAGCACCACCAGAGTTCCTTCTGGATTGTCCTAGCCATCTTTATATATGTCACACACCTCTCATAGAATCACTGCTATGTTTCAATGTAGCCTTAGCTGGTTTCCTGTCTTCCCACCTGTGCTGTGAGTGTCATAAGAATTATCCCTGGTCACTGTAACAAAAGGTCCTGACAAGACCATGCGAATGCAAGCACAGTCAAACACACAGACCTCTGTGTGTGTGTGTGTGCATGTTTACGTGCAAATGAGAATGTGTGTGAATTTGCACTATACCTGGGTGTGCTGTGGTATGCATGGGTATGTGGTCCATGTGCATAGGAAGATACGTGTACATGTATGAATGCATGACCTGTGTGTACAAGTATGTGAGTGTGTGTGCATGCACACATGTGAGTGTGTGCGTGTGCATGTGAGCACCAGGTGGGATAGTTCCAAATGAAGCCCTGAGGATACTAGGCTGAGCACAGGAGGAGGGAGGGAAATTGAAGACAGAGGCATCCTATGTTTACAGGGTCTGTGAAAACATGGTCTCAGGGTCTTTCTATGCAAAGTCAACTCCAGCATCATGATTCATCTTCCTTATACTGCAGGGAGATGACAAATAAACATCAAGACTGAGTTTAAGAGTTGACTCAATGGTGCTGTAGACACAACAAACTGTTTGGAGAGCAAATTTCAGCACCAATATGGACACAGAAAACTAGGCTCAGCTTCTACAGGAAGCTTGAGCTGAAGAGTCAGTGACGTGGTCACAGTTGAGCATTATACCAAACAGAGACTCCCAAACAGGAAAATAAGGGGTTAGGAAGACATGGGGAAACAATAATTACACTTCTGCATTGCCAGGACGCCCACAACCCAGGTATAAAAGCCACCGACTGGAAGGAACCTTCACTCCAGCATCCACCTCCTCCCTGAAACCTGCTCCAGCCAAACACCCCAATATGTGTGACACCTCCTGCTCCTCTGGCAGCCAGTCAGCTGGTTCCACGCCCATGTGCTGCACACCCCTGACCTGTGTCCCCACTGCCTGCTGCTCATCCTCAGGCTCTGGGAGCTCCTCCAGTCGCCCAGTGTCCTACGTGATTGTGCAGTACCGCCCTGTGTGCAGCGTGTCCTCCTCCAGCCAGCCACCCTGTGGGACTTCCAGCAGCTGCTCGGGTGGTGGCAAGTCATCATGTGGCAGTTCTTCCTGTGGCATGATTTGCAGTACATCCAGCTCTGGCCAAGGTGCCTGCCTTGTGCCCGTGTGCAGCATGGCCTCCTCCAGCCAGTCACCCTGTGGGGGTTCCAGCTGTGGTTCTGGTGGTGGCCAGTCATCTTGTGGAAACTCTTCCAGTGGCATGACCTGCAGCGTGTCCAGCCCTGGCCAAGTTGCCTGTCTTGTGCCCATGAGCTCTAAGCCTACTGTGTGTATGCCCGTGAGCTCCAAACCTACTACCATCTGCATCCCCGTGAGCTGTAAGCCGGCCATGTACGTGGTCCCCTCCTGCCAGTCTTCCTGCTCGTGAACATCTACTGCCAAACCCGAATACCCTGGAAGAGCTGCTCTGCTCATACACAGGAGCCATGGTGAGATCTTCCTTTCCAAGTCAGCACTGGGTCAGAGCAAGCTAAGAAGTGCTTCTTCCCCAAATCACTTTTGAGTGTGGCCAGAGGCACAATCCTTCTGTATTTCTGGATTTCTCCTTGTCTTCCTCCATCACCACAACTTCTAAGAAAACTCAACCTTTCATCTGAATCTCCCCTAAATTAATAAATTTGTCAAATGTCTATCCTCTTTTTTGGTGTCTAGTGGTCTAAAGTTGTTTGCTAAGACTTGCCCAATGTGAAAGCTAGCACACAGAATGGGAAGCCCTGAGTGGTCCATGAGAAGGGAGAAGATAAGTCACAGCTTTCTGCCCATGGGTTTTCAAGCTGAACAACAGGGGTCTCTGTTATTTAGGGGTCCCACCTCTTCCTCTTCTCATGGAAATCCCCTCCTTGTTCTGATGTGCAATTTCCTATCTTGCTCCAAATTTTGGGGACCAGAATGTTTGTGTGTGTATGATTGCATGTTTACACGCATGTGTGTGTGTGTGTGTGTGGACATGAATGTGTATGCATGTGTGCATGTGTGCTTAAGTGTATTGTGTGTGCATACATACATGTGTGTGCATGATTGTGCCTCTGTGCACATGTGTGAGTATGTAGTATACATCTAGGCATATTGTGTGAATGTGTATGCAACTTTGTATACCTGATGACTAGTATATGTCATATGACTAGTATATGTCACACACATATGCATAAGTGTATTATGTGTGTGCATGTATATATGAGTGAGTAGGTTGATGTATGCTTGTGCATGACTTGGTGGGGGCAGGCACTGTGTGCATTCATGTGTGTCATTGCATGTTTGCATAGGCAAATGGGAGTAGAGGCATGATGTGTGTTCTGCATGAATATTTAATGGCATATGTATACATGTGCGTAGTGTTTGTGTGTGTACACCAATGTATAAGAATGGGGGTGTATATGCATTCATTCAAAGAATTCTGGAAGTGTAGTGGTTACGAGATGGGCTGCTAACCTCTAGATCAACAGTTAAGATATAAAGCCTCAGATGCCCAATACAGGGTCACCATAAATCAGAACCGACTCCATGACACACCACCACTACCTTGTACTCATTATGGGAGCTAACAGGACATTTCAAAATCATAGAATTCTGAGATGCTCAAATACTTGTATGTCCCAGAACCCTGGAAGACTAGAACTAGGAGACCCTTGGACAGCACACAGATTCCCTCCCCACTTCCCTGTTCAACCCCCTTTTACAGAAGCCATCTCCTATCTGCCCCTTGTCTGATACTGAGGGCAGGTGCCTCTACTCTCACATCGTGAATGTCCTCCGATTATTTCAAAGGGGTGTCTCACTTCCAGTCTCGGGCTACCGGTTACTGCACACATTGTGCCCAATTATGAAACAGCTCCTCTTCACCCATTCAGTCCTGCATCGGGCCCAGGGAGCCAGCAGTGAGAAGCGACAATAGTTGTTCTGTCACCTGCACTAAATCTTTTCCCTTCACACCCATTCCCACATACTGGCCATCATTCTGACCCAGAGTCAGAACCAGGAGAGAAGAGCATGGAATGGGAAAGGTTTCACTTGGCCAATAATCATGGCGTCTTATACAACCTCCCCTGTCTTTAGGGATATTCATGGGTGTGTGTCTTGTGGGCACCATTCTGGGCCCTCAGTACTTCTGTGCTGCAGCCTACCCTGCCCTGCATATGGCCTCATGCCAAAGAAAACATCATGCTGGATGGCCCACCACCAACTGCATGCTGCCCCACCCATGGCAACATCATGGGGGAGCTCTCATCACCATCAGGATAGCATCTTTATTTGGGGGACAATTGTGATGGATTTCTTGAAGATGTGCATCCAATGACATCACCTGCTTTCTACTCAGTTGATATTTCCCATCATGTTTCCACATCTTATCACTAAACTCCTGACCCCGGAAGGGCAGTTATATTCCCCTACAGCCCTTCACACAGCCCCAAGCCACTCCAACCAGCCACACACACACCATGTCCCACAAATCCAAGTGCCACCGGGAAGCTTTCTAAATGGTTTCTTTAAAGCCCCCTCATGGGCTCAGGGGACTACTGATGTGGTGCTACAGGTTAATGAGCTGGACTGTAAAGTCATTTGAATAACAAGGTTGGTAGTTCTAGCTCACTAGTCACTCCTTGGAAACCCGATATAGGGCCACAATAAGTCATAAATAACTTAACAACACTGAACAACAACAATTATACCTTGCATAGGGATTCTGGGGAGTCCTGGTGTGGTGCTGTGGACTAACGTGTCAGATGGCAAAGCCATTTGAACTGTAATGTTGGTGGTTCAAATTTACCAGCTGCTCCTTGGAAACCCTATACAGAGTCGCTATGGGTTGGTATCAACTCAATAGCACTTAACAACAACAATAACATGGGCTCAGGTGGTTGCCCTAACTCCACTCTCCCTGACCCCCAGCTGAACCCCTGATCACCCGAGATGAGGCTAGTCCAAGGAGTGGAAATGTGAAAGAACTAATTCACACTATAAGAAGTTGATAAAAATGTCTAAAATTGATCAAAAAGTAAATCAATGTTTGCAAATCACTTAAAAAGAAAACTAAAGCCAGACCATTACCTTTAAGTAGATTCTGATTCATTGCAATTCTACAGGACAGAGTGGAACTCTTCTACACAGACTCCACTTCAGAAGAATGTACCAAGAACCCCATATGCATGCCACAATCTCAAACTTACTGGGTGTTGATTTGGCATCTATACAGAAAGACACTGCCCTGTGCTAGTCTCTAGACTGGGATGTAGTGAGAACAACTACCTGTAAAAAAGGATGTAGTCCATAGCTGTAGTTGAGCCTCAGAGAGATCCTCTGGTCCAGCCACTTTCCACAAAGGGACAAGTTCTGATGGAAGACATTGCAATGAAGTTAAAGAGGGTGGAGTCTCTAGGCTGTCACCTAGATGGAAAAGGTTTGAAATATTCAGAATAGGACTAATGGGAGGGACTTAGCTCAGTAGCATGAAGGGGTGCTAGAGTGGATGGGTCTGCAGATAAAGATGAGACAGAAGGACTAGCAGCAGTAGGACTGGCAAAAGGGGCCCACCATACCCATGGTGGGTTTGCAGCTCATTGGCACAAAGCAGGTAGACTAGCAGGGGCTGGTCATGAAACAGGCTGGGTCAAGAGGAGGTCTGACCACAGTCCACTAGGCCACGTGAAGACTGGCAACCCCACAGGGTGAGTGTCAGGTGGCAGCTATACTACACACAGCCTGAACAGCAGAGCCATGGAAGATACACTGGGCAGTTGTATAAACTCCAGCAGCAGAAGGGGCACAACACAGGTGTTCCAAGCACATAGGACTGGGGTAGGCTGACTGGCAGATCACAGAACAGCAGCTGTGGCACATGGTGGCTGTGTGGCTGGAGCAGGATTTTATGAAGGAAGTGGGGACAAGTCTGAAAGCTCCTCCTGCTGGACATCCTCTATATCCTGGGTTTGCTGGTGCTCAGGCATTACAGAAGCACAATTACAGTTTTCCCTGTTTTGTTTTTTCTGGGCTGTCTCCCACAACCTTGTTTCCCTGTTGTGACTATTTCAGTTTGGCCCGTTAGTTTAATGACTAATTGCATCTTCTACAAGCCCTTGTTTTACTTGGAAATCTGCCCATCTGTCTTCTTGGCTTTGTGTAGATTCTGCCTCATTCTTCAACATTGAACTTGTGGTACATACAGGTTTCAAAAAACTCTGGTCTTCTGATTTTCATCGTGGTGTGACAATGATCTTCAAACAAACACAACATAGTAGTATATTTTCCATGTGCCAGGAACAGTTCATAGTAAAACACAAGGAAGGATTGAGAATGGCTCCCTTGTAACTGAGAGCTGATGTTGGAGAGCTGACAAACAAATATGGAAGCATAGAAAGACTGTCTATAAGGTAAGTGACAACTGAAGGGTGTAGGTCATGGAGAAATCTTGTGGAGATGACATTAGATCATAAGATGAGATAAAGCAGCAGGACAGACTCAATGAACACAGATCTACCAAAGACAAAGACTAGGGTTGTTCAAGTGTGTACCAAAAATGTGTGTGAACACTGAGCAAAGGGAAGGGTTCCTCCCTGGGGAACTATAGAAAGAAAAACAGAAGTTCAATATGGAGAAGCACACAACACTGGCAGAACTGATAGAACAAAAAAGGCCAGGTTAGCTCTCTAGTCAAATTTATAATGGGGGAAAAAGTATGCTGCATATGTTTTCAAGTAGTGGTGAACAGGAAGCCTGCGACTGTGACTTCTGAGAGAAGGGAAACCCTTAAGGTTAGCACTACATTTATTGAGCTTTCTGTCTGAGGTCAATTTCTCAAATGTAGTGTGGTGAGCTAGAGTCTGAGCAGAACACAGAACACAAGGACTCCTCCTGGATGAAGTGGAAGAGATCAAAGTTTGGAGCAGTCAAAACACCTGAAATCAGAGATGTGGGACATCAGAAAGAAGGGAGCTTTGCATAAACCAGGTTCCATAAAACTATAGCAATCTGTGGAATAGGCCAGGGCTATAGATACATGCTAAAAGCAAGACCACCACAGGTTATTCAGACAAGCTCATACATAATTGAGAATGGAACCTCTTGGTAGAAAACTGAGACCCCACACAATCTGTGCTTTAGGTTTAAGAATCATACTCTTGTGTTAGACCTACTCTGGAGTGTCCTAGAAAAGTGTTTGAAAACTCATAACAAGATCTGCAAGGGAGACAGTTTGGAATCTGAGTCCCAACAAGGTATAGTTTAGGAAACACCTTAGATATTCTACAGATTCAGCCTAGCCAAGTGTAAAGCCAGACCTGCACATGTTCAAGGGTATCAACCAGTAATTCATTGCTGGCTGTAAGAAATATCAGTTCTTTGGAGAAAATAATAGGAAATTGTTTCTGTTCTTAA